AATTTCATACGAATACGGGAGAACTTGAAGTGCTATCCCAAATAATTTTCAGAGCGACCACTGAAAATCGAAAGTCTGCTTTTTGACAGAGATTCATGAAATTAAAATCTCGGAATTCCAGAAATTTGACGTTTTATGAATTATAATTTTTAGAAGAATGACGTTGAATTCAATTTAGGCGCAAAAGGCTCAGAAGTATTTCAAGTGCAGTTGAAGATTCAATTGAATTTATAAATTTAAGTAGAAAGACAGAAATTTCCAAACTTATTTGAATTTTACAATTGAAGTTGAACAGAATTTTTGATTAATTCAACATCCCAGGATGTGTTCAATGGTCAATGAATATGTCAACTAAAATTCACATTTATAATTGATTTTCTGTTCAAATTATGAATTTTCAATTACAAGATTTTTTTAGTGAAAATTTTCCTTGTCGGCAATTTCATAGATGGGTACCGGAAATTTCACCCGAAAATGTTTAGCATTGTAAATAATTTATGGAAGATAAATAAATTAGATAAAGATAAATTCGCAAAAGTTGACAAATCTATCGGAAAAATAACGTTTTTTCGAAACTCTATACAATTTCCATTATTCATTTGCAATAAGAGAATGTTCAAGAATATATAATTTTTTGCAAAATGTGAAAAGTGCTTCAATATCCTCAACTGCAACTATTAATAAGAATAAGAAAAAGCAATGAAAAATAAATAGATAGAGATGAATAAATGAAAAAAGTCAAATCATTTGAACATCTCCACCTCAACCCCGGAGATATCCATCAAACACCGCGAATTCGAGTTGTTCATCAGAATTTCCGTTTACCCAACAGAACAATCAATTCATTTGTTTGTGATGACTCGACGTCTGCGTATAAAAGCCCCTAGAATCCCCAAAAGTGCAGTGCAAGGGGATTTGTTGGGGTCATCTGAATTGCAGAAAACCGAGACTGAAGTAATGAAACACAAGCCAGGGATTTACTGCTCAACTCTTCCAAAGCCTCTTTGATCAACGTAAAAAAAGAGCCCCAGCAATTAAATTTCATGAACCAATTACAGCGATTCCATTGACAGTTGATGAGTTTCAATCTTCGGAGTTAATTCTCCACGAACAGAGAAACCCAAAGAACAAGAGATTTTGGAGAATAAAAAAATTGATAACAAAAGGATTCACTATCGACTCGGTGAATTCCTCGAGAGGATGACCGGAGGATTGCTGTGGGATTTCTCTTTGCGGTTCTGATTAATGGTTACGTGTATCATGGGTCTAAATATAGCACCTTTGGGTAGCCCGAGAGAGAGAGAGAGAGAGACAACTAGACACTGATTGCCGGTATTCATGGGGTCTTGTGGTTGGTTCAGAGCTACACGAGAATAATACCAAAAAGCTGAGGCATCAGAACACGAAAATAACTCTCAGTCCTTCTCCACTCACTCCGAAAGTGAGAAAAAGCAAAAGGATTCAATTTATTAATTCTCCTAAAACCCCCCTAGCCCTCCCCTCTCTCCCAAACCTAAAAAAACCCAAACATTAAATTTATTCACTGAACAAATGACCCTACAATTCCCCTTTGATTCTTTCTCTCGACCCCAGTGCAAAGATATTCATCGAGAACTAAATATATTCCCTAAAAAAATAATATTCAACCGTTAGCACAGCCCTTCGAGTCCTCTCCCAAGTGCTTTCTCTTTGTTTCAACGAAGTAGTAAGCGATGTTGTTTTTATCCCTCGTCGCAATAGCAGACTGGCGTCGGAGGGCCTCGGCGAGAAAAAAGACCCAAGAGGGAGGAAATTTCAAGGGCTGCAAGGGCTCCAGGGGTTGGCAGAATTGGAGGGTTATTCCTTGCATGAAAGTTACACCGAGCTGGATCCATTGTGACTGCCTGAACTGCTGCTGCTGCTGGTGGTGGTGGTGGTGGGGGTTGAACGAATTGATTGTGTAGTGGTGACACGTGCTAGGCAGAGCCCATGGTTTCTATTGATCCACTCTAGTTGCCATGCAGGTGTTTCTGACCTCGAATGAGATGCCAGACCCATCGACACACTGACCAATCCCCAAATTCTTATCACTTAACGATACATCAAATCGTGGGATTCGTTAAGCTGATGAATTTAGTTAATTCAGTTGATGGGTTTATGCTGCTGAAGTGCGATAACATTGCTTGATATTTATTTAATGTCAAGGGGTTGGTGATTCCATTGTCTCGTGGAATCACTTCCGTTTTATCTCGGCTGCAGAAAAAAAAATCGAAAAAATGTACACGAAGGCTGGAACGATTGGAGACCTAGGCGTGGCATTCTCTTGTCGCGTAACCGTTTGGTTATTATTAGCACGACGCGTCGACGGATAAAATGCCCCATTTACGTATTAAAAGTGAGGAGTATGAACCCTGAGTGCACGTCACTATAAAACATCGCGGGGGGATTTATTGGATGCTGAAGTGGGAGAGCTCTTGTTTCCTTGGTACCATTTTGTTGAGTCGATTTTGACGGATTTTTTAAATTTTAAATTCCGAAATTCCCTGAAATTTGGAGCTATAACATGATAACTATTTCTAAGAAGTACCGAAAATTTCAGTAAAAAAATGTTTGAAATTTTTTATAATTATTCACCCCGAGAACGACCAGTTCTACACGAAAACTTCATAAAACCTTTTTACGCGACTGATGAGTTTTCCAACAAAAAGCGTCGCCTGACATTCCCCCTGAACCCGCTCCCCATCAAAACAATTAAAAATACCCCAAGCCATGAAAGGATCGCCCTTCTCCCTTCCCTTTCCCCCAGAAATCGATCCCTTCAAGTACTTCACATTTCCATCCCCATTTTCCCGTATGCATCGACTAATTACCCGATCAGACGACGATAATCGAGCCACCAGTAAAAATGATCGTCGAAATGTCAGGGGTACACCTTGAATCAACTCAATTCATTACCCTCGCCCCTTTTTCCCAACCGATTCGTGAACTTGGAGACATGTTTTTTCATCGTTGTCATTCCAACGAATTACCCGTCAGCCTGACGTCATCCCCTTTATTCGATTCTCGAAAGGTCATTCACGCCGGAGTCATTCGAATAGTCAACCATCACGAGAGATTAGATGCATTTGAAGACCTCCATTGAGTCATTCGACGATAATTTCTTGATAACCGATTTTTTACGTTCTTTTTATCAATGATAACAAAAAGACTCTTTCAACCATCTGACAACAATATTCAATTCATTATTTCACCAGATGACTGCATGTGCTTATCCCCCTTAAATGATTAAGTAAGCAATTTTTAATTGGACTATTTAATTCTTATTTATTTATTTATTCAATTCGCGTATAAGATCAGTGAAGTTTGAGCTGTCCGGTTATGGTTAGAACTGTTGGGCTGGATGTGTTCTTTTTATGATCACTTGGACCTCAAACATTTCGCCACATACGGGGAAAAAAATTTCTAGTTTCCAAAATCAAGTTACTGATTGTTACTGTTGGGTGATTTTGAGAAACTTATGTTTCTTATAATAATAATAATAATAATAATAATAATAATAATAACAATAATAATAATCACATCATAATAATCCAATAAAATTCATAGTCTCCAATTCTCAATTTCTGTCATTTGCTATATTCATTCTATTAAAAGGCAAGGATAGAAATCGAATTTATGGGTATTCTTCCATTATTCGAAAAAATATATCGATTTTCAAACTTTCCAGAGACATTGAAAAATTATTATTTTTTATTTCCTCCCGCCCACTTTTTTGCATTTTTATAGTTTCTTCTTGCTCAAATATTGATATCCCTCTAATACTTGAAGAAAAAAAATCATTCAAAGTTCCCGCCGACATAAAAGAAGAAAAAAAATGCATTTTCAAGACGATTATCCCTTTCTGATTCTTTTTTCATTTTCTTTTTATAACAATAATTGGAATCTGACTGTAGGAATGATCAGTACCGATATTCTTTCACCATATGAAGGGAAAACAGATTTTTTAAATTTTCAGCGACACCTGGAGAGATACGTCTATTACCCGATCGAGATTTCGAATGACTTTTGTTTTGTATTTATTTTGATCACAAAAAAAACACTTTTCGTTGAAATATCTTTGGAATATCTGTGGACCAAGGTTGTTTACGTAGAAAAATTGTCCTCGAAATTTGGCTAAAAATTAAAAAAATGGCTAATAAAGGTCTTTTTCCATTTAGCAAACCATATTTTATGTATTTATCTATTCATGTTCTGCGTACCGAATCTTAATAGATGAACAAACACTTCCTTGTTTTACAATTCATGTGCTTCCTAAATCCCAGCTAGAAGTTTTGCAATTGATTCTTCGGGGGGCATTAACACGTAATAAAATCGGTCGTATTCATTAGCATTTGGCAGACGTCTCCAGTATACACCAGAGTACAGTGCGCACAGACTTCAGTGATGTAACAATTTCCACAGTATACCGCGTTAGATGCCAGAGCCTTCCTTATCGGTCGGTAGTCTAAAAAGGCTTTCGTAACTCGAAAAAAGTGTCGTCATTCTTCAATAGTAATGAATTTCACCTACTTTTTCATCATTAAAAGTGAATTAAAGAAACGTTCTCCAAATATTTTCCATCATTACACTCGATTGTGGACCCACCACACCTCGAGCCAATTAAAGACTATTAACCATTAAAAAAACTATTGAAACCCATTAAAAAATATTAAATACTATTAAAACTTAATCAGAACAGAGTGAATGATAGTGCTGTACTTTTATTGAGCCCTTGCAATGAATAAAATTTGATGAAATGCGGTAATTACCGAGTGAAATGATGAGTGGAGGAACAATGCTGCACTTAACATTGTATGCAAATTCCCTAAATCAATCTTTACTCAAATCTCTCGACGAATATGTAGCCTTGAATGACGACGATGAGGTCAGAAAAATAAATGAAGAATTAATGATCAACTTATGCCTTCAGGCCATTTTTGTGATCAACGATTCCTCATGTTTTTGGGCGTTTATTGTTTCAGTCGCAGATAGCTGGGGGAGACCCGAGGATGGCGGACACAAGTCAGCAGGAGCTCACAGAGCCTCACACAAATGGCGTGATGGACGGCCTGACGGAAGAGGAGAAAAGTAAGATGAGACCAGCTGATATTGAAGCGGTGAGTATCTTAAACGATTAAATGAGAGGATTTTTATCGTGAACAAGTTTTATTCGAGTCAACCATCAACAAGTGAATAGTAATTATCATGAGTTATTTTTTTTGCGTCAAGAAAGACAAATATGTAGTGAATGAAAAAGTGATGAAACATAAGTGTCCTGAGCTGTATATCATGGCTGTACTCATGGTGACGAAGGACATTGAACCACTGCGAATTATACACCAGTTTCTCGGAAAATGTGAAAAAAGAATTTAAAACACGCATTAATGTGCTAATTATGTGCTGAGAATTTAAATTTACTGATACTAAAATTGGTATCACTGTGAATTTTAGCTGACATTTTCTGTAGATTTCTTAAAAATTTTCTTTAAATGACAGTTCCACTGAATTTTCAAGGAGTTTCATCATTGATAATTCACAAAATTTAAATTTCAATTCAATTATTATATGAAAATTAATAGGAATCAGGAAAGTTCAGATGAATGTATTTTTGATTTTTCCATTTATTTAAAATTATTGACAATTCAAATGAGGAAAGCACTTTTTTGTTCTACACATTTGACGAGTGAAGCCAGAATTCTGAATTCCTAATTAAAAAATGGCTTTCATATTTTAATATTTCTGACTGAAATTTTCAGTTCTTGAAAGTTGTCATCAAGGGACAGTTCCACTAAAATTCCAAGGGATTTCGTCATTGAAAATTGATAAATCGATTTAAAAAAGCAATGGAAACTGCGAATTTGATTTAAAAAAAAAACTATGGAAACTATAATTCCATTATTCCATAAAAATTTATAGAAATCAGGAAAATTCATACATCTATCCATCATCAGCACAACTAAGTACGTTACTTCATCGAAGAATCTTTGTAACCAGCACTGACGTAGTAATTCTCGCATAAGGAAATTAAACTCGTCTTCACTCGTCAAATGTTTAAACAAATAATTCGACTCTTGTAAATTATTGTCTTGTACATCATTTGTGGACGTCCGCATGAAAAGGGACCACTTTGGCACTATTGGAGTTATGTATATTCCTATAATCTTGATCTGATTCTGAACATTTCGAGCCCAGAATGAACTTGATAGCGTAAAGAGTGACGACGCTAAAGAAGATCGAAAAAATAATTTAACATGGGTTTAAATGGGAGTTGGCAAGAGAAAAACGTGAATATCTCGGAAACTAGAATCGACAAAGTGGTCCCTTTTCATGCGGACGTCCACATTTGACTCAAGAAATTCTTTAATCCGTTGTTATCCCCATCAGGACGTGAGGGAGATGGAGAGGAGACGAAGAGTCGAGATGATGATGAACTCGAAATTGTTCAGGGAAGAATTGGAACGTATCATCGAGACACAGATGAGCAATGGCTCAGGACCCTCTGGCCTCTTGCAACAGATTTCGGACATGATGGGAGCGCAGGGCAGTCGATTCAACTCAAATGTGTTCAAAAACTCCAACTGCGTGATGCCAATTAACGATATTCGAGGTTTGTGTTCTTTTGTTTATATCGCCAACAGGTGATTCTAAGAAAAAACAATCATAATTTTTTTTGTAACTGATAAAATCATTTTCTATCAAAACCATTTAACATTCTTCAAGCCACCATTAATTAATAGATACGTTTTGGGTTAATCGAGTTGGAAGCAAATGAAAATATGAAGATAAAATAGACGAAAATATTGATGACAATAATTAGAAAAGAATTTCATAAAATGGATAAATGTCTTTATTTGTTAGGTTTGACGTAAAAATCTATTGATAATGCCGACGTGTTTTACTAATGAAATTAGTAAGGGATGAAAAATATATTAAGATAGATTCATACGATGAAGAGTATTAGATTGAAATATTACACTTTTCAAGGAAATTATTATCAAATCAAATAGTCTAACATTTAAAAAAAAAACAAATTTTTAACAAACAAATTTTTAGCAAATTTTTTTAAATTACTAATTTAACAAATCATTTTTATTTTCAAGTTGTTTTGAACATCCCATTCATTTCGAATTTTATCATTTTTTAAATAAGCTGATTCCTCTCGATTTTTAGAATATTAATTAAACAATCAATTCAGTAGCGAAGTGGTAAAACGGCTTAAGTCAACTTATCTCCCAGTTGAGTTTTTGAGGAATACTTCGGACTCTAAGGGAGACAGCGAAATTTTCGTAATTACATTTGTTGTAGCTCTCAATCGGCTCTACAAAAAAGGTTATAACAAAAACTTTGTTATCTCCTTTAGATTCTGAGATGTTCATTGAAAACTGGTCAATAGTCAAAATTGACTTGTACCGTTTTACCACTTCACTACTGAATTGTTTTAATTGATAAAATATATCTCATCACGTGTTTTACCTTGAAATTCTTTCAAAACACAATTCTCCATTCGATTACACCTATTTATTTTTTGTTTACACGAAATCATATCAGAATCATTATCCTCACTCCTAATCATCTTCTGTATTCTGTAATACCCCATTCCTCTCTTCATCAATCTCCACATTAATTACGTTAAATTCCATGTAATGACCATTTCAAGAGAGTCATTCCCGTTATCTTTCATTCATCAATAATCTCCTCTAATTATCATTCTAAAGGTGTAGAAAGCATGGGCTACGCCAAAGGCGAGAAACTCCTCCGCTGCAAGTTGGCAGCTGTGTTCAGACTCCTGGATCTCTACGGCTGGACCCAGGGTGTTGGAGGCCAGATAACAGCCCGCCTAAATCAGGACCAGCAGCACTACCTGGTGAATCCATACGGTCTCCTCTACCACGAGGTGACAGCCTCGAGTCTGGTTAAGGTCGACATGCAGGGCCAGATTGTCGAGCAGGGAACGACGAATTTTGGTGTTCACATTGGTGGTTTTCAGCTGCACTCAACGATACACGCTGCCAGGCCAGATATCAAGTGTATCATTCACATAACGACACCATCAGTGACAGCAGTGTCTTCCTTGAAGGGTGGAATCCTTCCAATTGGCCAGGAGAGCATTGTCATTGGAGAGGTGTCAACGCACCAGTGGATTGGAGAGGCTGTTGAGCCTGAGGAGAAGGAGAAAATCGCCAGGAATCTTGGACCCATCAACAAGGTCATGCTGCTGACGAATAGAGGTGCTCTCTGCTGTGGGGAGACCATTGAGGAGGCTTTCTATAATGTCTATAATACTGTGCTTGCCTGCGAGACTCAGTTGAAACTCATGCCAGCTGGCCTTGAGAATATCTCACTCATCTCTGAAGAAGCCAAGAAGGCCATCTTCGAGGCGTCGAGGAGACAACCTGTCCCTCATTACAGCACCATCACTGAGCCACCTGCACTGGCTGAGAAACTCGAGAAACGCTGGAGAATCGGCAGCACTGAGTTTGAGGCACTCATGAGGATGCTCGATAATGCTGGCTTCCGCACTGGGTATATTTACAGACATCCACTTGTTAAGAGCGAACCGCCGAGACCCAGGAATGATGTCGAGGTGCCACCTGCTGTTTCTTCGCTTGGGTATTTGCTGGAGGAGGAGGAGAATTATAGACAGGGGTTGGTTGATTTATTTTATGGGGTTCATTATTGTTTTTGATGGATTTTGAGAATTGCTTTTTGTTTATTGTTCGGGTGAAGGGTTTTTTTTAACGCAGATTTTATGGGATTTTTGTGGGATTTTTTAATGCAGATTTAATGGGATTTTTTTCGGAGTGAAGAAAGATCTAGATATTAAATAGCTACAAATATTTTTGGATCTCTTTGGGAAAAGTATTAAAGGAAGAAATCAATGTTTCAGTGTAGTAAACTGGGGAAACAATTGGGATTTGGGAAATATCTTTCAGGCTTCATTCGAGATATTCATCACAGGAGTGGTACAGGGAATTTTAATTCAATTTTTGTTAGAACTACAGAAGATCTGGAAGAAAAATCACTCTAAAAATTCTCGTATCTGCGATGCACTGAAAAATATTAATGAAAATATTAATGAGAAAAGAGATTAATTACTCTGTGTAGTAGAAAGTTAGAAATCTCGATATCTTTCTTAGATTGGCATAGATATACTACAAAAAACTGATGTTCTACGGAGTGAAATCAAATTTTAACTAAACTTGTGATTTAATCTTTTACAAATATCTCAGGATCGAAAGGGGATAGAGAACTGTGAACTTTTTTTTAGAATGAGGGAAGTTCCAGGATAAAAAGAGAAATTATTCTCACGTAATTTAATCGACAAATTTGATGATTGAAAATGTTTGAGTCTATAGTGTGGTCTGTACCAAACTGCAAAAGATACTTGAATATCCTTAAATTGAAATTGAGTCATTTTGTTCAACCCAATCGCTAACAAAATCAATTAAAATTTCTGAACAGCAACGAATTAACAAATTAGCTGAATAATTGATAATTGTCTTGAATTTCCAGACTCTGGAAGGGTGGACGCAAAGGATTCGACAGAACACACTGGTTAAACTCACCGAACGTCTACCAGAAAGTTGAAATCCTGGAGACTGGAACGCCAGATCCCAAGAAAATCACCAAGGTAGAAGTCATTACATTTGAGAATAAAAAAGAATAAATAAGCCGAAAACATTCCAAGGAAATTAATTAGTCAGTACTAGAACATGAAACATTAGGATTCGTCGGTACTTTGCACGTCAATACATGTCATAATTCCCAGTGCAGTTGTCTCTCAGTGTTGACAGATGAAAATATTTCTTTCGCGAGTTTGCAGTAGACCAATAAATCTAACTAGTCAATCGCCTCCTTGAGATCAACGATTAGAAAGTACGCTTTTTTTTTTTTAAAGTAATAGATTATTTCTTTTTACCTGAAAACATCGAATTGAAAAAAAAACACGTTGGAGGCTGTCGCGTTCATTTCAACAGATATTCCCTTATTAGTTGACTGTCAGGGGAGCTCACTCCTCACTTGGGTAATCTAATTGCGTAAAAATATTGGAAAGGTAAAATACAACTGATAATTCATCTCCCTCGAATGAAATAGAACTACGAAGATAAAATAGCCGATAATATTGATGAATAATTAAGAGAGAATTTTATAAAAAAGCATAAATGTTTCTATGTGTTACGCTTTACATAATCTATTGGAAATGTCTACGTGTTTTTACTAATGAGATTATCTGCGCAATTATATACGACAGCTGGATGCTTGAGGCGGTTTCCAAGCTTGTGAGATTAATGAAAAAAATACTATATTGAGATAGATTTATGCGTTAGGGAGTATCAGAGTGAAATATTGCACTTTTCAACGAAATTATCCACAAATCAAATATTCTGACATTCCAATTTTAATTGCGATTTGAACAAATCAATTTTTAATTTTTAATTTGTCATTAGAACATTCCATTTATTGGGGTTTTTATTATCATTTTAACGTGCAATAATTTTTCTTATATTGTGAGCACTTTACACTCATGCCATTGATTCCTCTCAAGTGCCAGAATGATAATTAAATAATCAAATGGATTAATTTGTAAAGTATTTTTCATCACGTGTTTTAACTTGGTACATTTAAAGGACATTTTCTTCGTGGGTTTTATTCAGCTTTAGTCGCTTCCATGAGATATTAAATCGTGTAGCATTGTTAACACATAAATAAGAAGGTGTCACTGTTTTTTTTCTGTAGCTTTTTTCGATGTTGAAATAAAGGTGATAAAAATTACTGATTAAAACGACAATTACTCGGAGTTTTGTTTTATTTGTAATGGTAAAAATAGGGCATGCTACGTGTGAATGTGGAACAAATGTTGATAGTATTTCGGTGACACATACACTGAGATTAAACCACTCCCTATTTTCTTCGGTTTTTTAAGTTTTATTGATTTCCAGGTTTTTGTGATCTTTTTTTTTAATCTAATGTCATGTTTTTCTTGGCTTTTTTTTTATTTATAGTGGGTGGAACAGAATGCAGAGGAGGTAAATGGGAACTCTCCCCCCCAGTTACTGGGACTTTATTCAGACTGAGTCGAATTCAATTTATTTATATCTATTTGCTAGATCATCAGTACTTTGGTGCGCATGGGGCATATCACCGGTGTCAATCTCAATTAAATTACCTGTTTTGCTATCATTTGGGCCTGGAATACCTCACGACATTGGCATTTCATCGACAATGCGATACACTATGGATTTATTTTCACCTAAATTAATATTTCCTCATGATTTTATTTTTCATTAATCAATAATCATTAGTTACTCCTCTAGTGGGATGAATATCCTTTCAGTTTCTGTGGATTTCACGATATTAATTTCACGTAGAGAATTTATCAATCATTTCACAATGACTCTGAATGAATGTGTGCCTGTTGGTCATTTATTTTATTCTCGGTGGCCTCGGTATGCATCCACTGTATTGACAAAACCAGATGTCGACCCTCAGAATTCGTTAATGACTGATTATTGTTGGATAAATTATTGATTTTGACGCGTACCGTTCGGATATACAGGCACACATTACACGAGAGAGTCATTTCATTCGGCTTGTTCAGGTGCTTTATTGATTCACAAAAGAGTAATTCGATTTATTGATATTGTCAATGGGTCTAACGTGAGGAAAAAAATTCTGGTTTTGTCTGCAGTGGGTGTCCGAGGGATCGCCAACTCACAGCAGCACACCAGTTAGGATCGATAGTGCACTACAGTTTGTACCGAAGAATACAAATCCGAGGGAGTTTAAGACACTTCAGCAACAGATTAAGGACAACAGGAGAGCGGATAAAATATCGGCAGGACCACAGTCACATATTCTTGAGGGGGTCTCGTGGGAGGAAGCTAAGAAAATGCAGGTATGGATTTAATGAGACTATTTATTAATTCTTTTCATAACTGAGGACATGAAGTACTGTTGAAAATATTTTATGTATTTTTTATTTCATTTATTTCTTATTTATTTTATTTGTTATTTGGAACATGAAGTCTTTTATTCAAATTACTAGATTACGAAAACTTTTACAATGATCTTATCAATCAATTTTTAATCCTAAAAGTCATTTTTATGGAGTCCATTCTACGAAAAATTGATTTTATTTAGCAAATGAGGTTTGCTATTCCCATGATTTTTTTATAAGAAAATGATTTTAAAAAACAGTCAAAATAAATTGAAAAATCTATAAAGCTGATGCTTGTATGGAATTAATTTATTTCGTTACGTCCCTCAACACCGAGATAATTTGAAATTCAACGTTAAAAATAGGTAAATATGATTTTTCAATTCGTTTCATTCATAATTGCAGGATGCCTCAATCAGTGCAACCGGAGAATCAGTGGTGCTCGTTGGAGCTGCCAGTAAAGGAATAATTCAGCGTGGATTCCAGCACAATGCAATGGTGTACAAAACTCCCTATGCCAAAAATCCATTCGACGCTGTTACGGATCAGGAGCTTGATCAATACAAAAAAGAAGTTGCACGTAAGACAAAGGGTGATCCCTACGAGGAATCACAGTCTGAGTCAGAGGCCCTGTCGTCGTTCAATATTAGTCGAGCGACGCACGAATCCAGCACTGCCAAAAGTCCCATTCAGTCGCCAGTTTCAGTTACGTCTGAGACGGAAGAGGAGAGCAGAGATGGTAAGAATCCTCAAAAAATTTAAAAATCATCGATTTGAAAATAGAAGAAATTCACAATTTTGTCATTTCAATTATTTTTAGTATTGAGAGAATCCGGGAAATCTAAATTTTAATCATATCTATTTTTCGTAAACAGAAATAATTAAAAACTGATAGAAATCAATTTATAAAGTCATCTGGAGACCATTTCTGTCATTGAGCACAGATAAAAAGAAATTTAAAATCCCCAAAATTTGATCGCATAACATTTCATTTTTCCCCAGAACCACGTGTATTGCGGATAGAAAAGAAAAAAGTGCCTGCGCCAAGTCAACCGGAAGTTGTCCTGAGTGACGGTAAGTCCCAGGAATTCCTGGTCCTCAAAAACAATTAAAACACCAATAACTTCACCCCTAAATTTTTTAAATTAAAAAACACTTCACGAATATTGTTTTGCCCCTGAAGAACGATAATTTGATACCACATAATTGCATGAGCATTTTGTAAACTGCATGAATTAGGAGAGACGCATGGGCATGCCAAGGTGGACGATGCAAATAGGACAGTAGCTGTTAGGGTGACGGAGGCACCACAGGTTCAACACAAGGGGATTAATGATTTCTCAAAGCATAATTTCGAAGGTGAGACGCTGGAGGAAATTTTCTGGACTTGAAGGGCGTTTGCCTTTAAATTCTCCCCTTTTTATTCTCCATCTCAAACATCCCCCCAACAATTATTCAGAGATAAATTGTCGTGACGTTTGCATGAAATATGTCATTTATTCGTTGATAGCTGATGCAACGACCCAGTTCCTCAATGAGATGCGTCGCTGCGCGATGGAACCGAGGAACGAGTCTGTGAGAAGAGGTAAGTGGGGTAGCTCTGTCCAGTGGGGTTGAAACACACCCCCAGCTTTTGTTATCAATGTTTCACCTTGTGCATGCACATTCATTTTTCCTCAAGGCTCATTTTTTTTTATTCATGCCGCTTTATTTTCCCACAAACATGATCGTTATCACAAAACGCTCGCACCAATCTAGGTGCACGCTAATTATGCTTTTTAATCACTATTTAATCCTCGGTTCATTTGCATTTTGCACTGCTGTGTGGTGGCTAGTGTTTGGATTTGATTCAGTGGGGAAGGGGGATGAGGAGATGGCGATTATAGGCAATTGGTGATTTTTGGGTATTAATTCGTTCGTCAATGTCTCGGGATTGGTGGGAGATGGGGAATTTTGGAGTGGATTTTATTTTCTACTTATGGGAATTTCTTCATCTGTATCTGATTCATGGATATGGAGGAAAAACTTGACTTGGAGTTGAGTGATTTTTTATTTTTTAATTCAAGAATAGAAACTATAATAATGGAATTATTTTTAATTTAATTTAATTTATTGAGGATCAGTTCTTGGGAAATAGTGGAGAGTGAAGTTTTTCTAGAGCTGCATAAAAGGTTCAAAATGTGAACTTTAAGTTGAGTTGATCTCTCCTCTTTGATCGATTTATTGAGGATGAAATTTTGGAAAAACTGTCGATATCTAGAAGATGCAGCAAAAATTTTGTAGAAATATTTTTTGCAGACCAAAATTGGAGCTACAATGGTTTTCATAAAAATTTATCCCTCTCTTGGTCTCGAAAATATATTGAGTAAAAACTGAGCTTGCAGTTGAGTCATGTAAAATCATTGATTTTAAATAATTGATTTCTAGATTTCCATCGAAATTCATCTACCTGCCATGGTTTTATAAATAATATTCATCAAAATCTTAACTTGCATTTGAGTGGAAATCGAGCAGCTTGAATTCAAATAATGGATTACTTTCTGGGAAATATCTCTGAATTTATGAGAATACGTAATACAAAATTGGAAATTTTTTATGGAGAAGGATAAAAGCTAAAGAATGTTTTTACAAAATTAATATTTTCAGTCGTGTATATTAATCCTAAACTTCCAAAAATTTTCCACCCCCATCAAACCCAAGACACCCATAAAGACGAACATCGCTGCTGACCTCTTCCACCCCTGCCCAAAAAACAGTCCATAATCAGAAAATCTCTTCACTTCTGCAAGCGAAAAAAACCTCAAAACCATCGAGTGTCGGGTGCGAGCGGTTCGTGAGTGCGACAGAGCGAGTCTCGAAAAAATTCGGTTTGAAAAATACCCAAGAAAGGATCACTGAGAAAAAGATCAGGTATTGCAGGTCCGTTTCGACGCTATCCTTTTCCAGATAATAAATCGAGCACCAGTGACGAGGACGCTGCAGCACCCTGGTGGTCGCCCCTGTACCAAACCGGCCAAATCCAAGTCATCAGACTAGACCGAATAGCTGAGCGTCAAAAGCCCCAAATAACCTCGATAACGATCCCCAAGAGCCCCATAATAATAAAGCACTCCTTAGTAATTCCAAAATTCAAGCCCAAGCCGTACATAAAAGATCGTTGTAAATTCTTCAACGAGTACGACAAACGTTACAAGGAGTATAAGACCCTGAGCAGTGAAAATTTCATTCGTTTCACGAGTAAGTCCCTGGAGGAGAGGATCGAGAGCCTCTCCCCAGAGGCAAGCGTCCCCTTGACCTTCCCCGAGTCGTGCAAAGTCCTCCCCAAGAACCGCGGCTTCGTCAGGGAAATCGCGAGACAATTCTCCTCAACCGAAGCCCCCAGCGCCCCAGACAATCGTCCCCCAAGCAGGAAGAGATCATCTCAGAATGCTCTGCAGATCAGCCCCAGCAGGGACTGCATCACAAAGGTCCCCAGGCTCTCCCTCCCCCTGGTCCTCACCATGGCCGACCTGGAGAGTCCCAGCCTGGTGAACACAATCATGAAGTTCACAGTCTCAAGACCCACAAAAAGCGAGGGCAACCCCCCCTCCGAGTGCCTCCCCTTCACTCGTGGAATCCTCCCCACTGCCTCCCCCTTCCCCGAGATGATCGACACCCTCACCGAGGACTTGAGGCTCTCCAGCTCCTCAGAGCCCACGAACTCCTCTGTCATCACAATAGCGGAGCGAATTTACCCCGAGGAAATTAAACTCGAGGTGGAATCCGACGATGAGAATGGAAACAGCTCAGACCCCCTGCCACGCTCCAAAATAAAGCAAGAGCCAGAGGACTCGAGAGACCTCAACCTCTCCGACGAGAACGGCAACTCCTTGAAGGAGAACACCCCCCCAATCCCCGAGTGCGCCATGAAAGCCGAAGCAAACGACTGGATAAACGAGACAGAAGAGGAGTTGAAGCTCTCCTTCGAGAAGGACATGAGTGACGACTGTCCCTGGAGGTTCTCCTCTCCCCTCCCGAAGTTTTACAATCGCGAGGACAGCATGACGGAGGTCATAAACACCCTCAACGTCAACCTGACGCCCTCGAAGATGTCGTCCTTGAATTACCTCCCAGACACCCACAACTCGAGGACCTGGAACCTGGATCCAAATCAGTTCAGCGTTATGTACAGCCTCACCCCGACAGCTGACGTAGACGAGGACCCCATCGAGGAGCACTTCAACTGTGGAAAAAAGAACTGCGAGAAGTGTTTGTACCCAGGATACTCCCACGAGGGCTCGTTAAACCAGAGTTTCGAGGCGCCTGTTCAGCAGGAGCAGTTTTACTGGGAGGAGATGCTGCCAAGTGCTGGACAGGAGGCTCCAGAGGGCCCAGTGAAGCCCACGACTCCCGTCGACTTGAATCAGACAATCGACCTCTTCGACAACTCCATCGATCTAGACACAGAACGAGACATGTCTGCTGACTCCATAGACCACGAGCAGTCAGTGGGTGGCTCTGACCTCCTGGAACTCCCGCACTCGACGTTCGTCGAACTCGAGAAGTCCCGGGACCAGGTCTTCCACGAGGACATGGCCACCTCCGCAAACGAGGTGATCGCAGGTCTGGGGGAGAGAGAGGCCCTGGTGAACGCCGAAGCAATCGTTGACGACGTCCTCTCTGATGTCGCCTGTCTCGACCTGAACGAGGAGTTCTCGACGGACTTGAGGACGATCCTAGAGGCCAAATTAACAGCCCTCAAAGTCGCCAAACACATAATCGATGAGGTGATGGACGAGATGGGACTGGAGATCAACCAGGAGTTGAGGGAGGAGCGGCAGATTCGGGAGATCGAGGAGATCGTGGAGAGGACCATCGAGGAGGACACCATTGGCAAGGAGCCCAGGTTCATCGTGATTGGCGAACTGATTCACCACATCATCGACAGGGTCTCGAGTGGCTCTGAGAGCCCCTCGGGATCGTCTCCAGGGAGTTACAATCTGAAGAGAACCAAGGAGAACGCTAACACTGAGATTAAGGAGCTCGCCAACTCCATGAACGAGGAGGCAGTCGCTTCGGTGACTCCGGACCTTCTGAAGCCGACGGTTGGGCTGGGAGAGTCCCCCCAGGAGGGGAGGAGGTCGCGGGAGTTGTTCAAGAGCTCCGAGAACCTCATAAACGAGATTAAATCTATTTTCAATGAGATTGACATCGACGTCGAGAGCGAGGAGTCGATGAGGGAGGAGCTGGAGCAGATTGTGGCCTCCTGCTGCATCGATCAGAACGGGGAGGTCTTCTCGAGCGACATGGAAGCCTTTCAGCATTACGCGAATCAGATGCAGCTCATTGCCAAAGCCATCATCTTCGAGGAGTCTCTGAACAAGAGTAAATCGGAAACTCTCAACTCCAGCAGCTCGACCGAGAGTTCTCTCTACGCGAATAAATCAGAGAGTGTTAAAAAATTCGTTGCCAAGTTCAAGGAGATCACGAAGGGGAGGAAGACGTCCGTGGAGAGGAGTCCCAACAAGTCTGACGTCTTGGAGGCGTCAGACACCAAAAAATCCGACGTCTCTGGGGAGATGCGCAACAGGGAGTTATCTCTGGACGTCGACGTCTCTGTCGAGAACACGATAAACGTCAGCAGCCAGTCGGATCAGTCGTCTCCGGAGAACGACACGAAGTCCGATGACAGCAGGGAGAAGGTCGAGTTGACGAGGAAGAAGACACTGTCCGATCTCAGCAGAGCTACTGATCACGACGAGGATCCACCGAGTGTTCACACGTCAGACGAAAATTTTCTGAGCGAAGACTTTGAGAAGAACGTCGTCTACATGTGGGACTTGAACGAATCGGAGAGCGAGAGGAGCTTCAATGAGATCCGGGGGAAGGACGCGAGCTCCACTTTCGTGCAGTTCGACGAGATCGACGATCTTCCTGAGGAGGGGACTCACGAGGAGAAGGTGGTGAGTGTTCCTGGCTCTCCGAAGGTGTTTCAGTCTGATCTGCTGACAATTCCTGAGGACGAGGAACTCAAATCTTCGAGTGTTGAGGGGGAGGAGGGGCAGAAGGACAGGACTCTGTCGCCAATTCTCGAGGATGAGGAGGTGAAAGCGTCGAGGGATGATCAAGCGGATGGTAAAGGGCTGGGGGTTGAGGACTGCCTCGAGAGAGCTTCAGCTCTCACTCCAATACCTGAGATTAACGACTCGTTGGAGGAGGAGGAGGGGCTTAAGGCTGATCAGTACCTCGAGGCAGGGCCTCCCAATTCCCCGGAGATAGCAGTGACTCCTGCTGAGGACCTGGAGAACGAGTCGGAGCACAGTGGACCCTCCTCGAGGACGGATTTCTTCTCGTGCACTGGGGGGAACTCCACTCCCTTCCAAACTGGCCAAAGCAGCGCTGATACCAGTGTCTACACGAAAATGTCGTCAGAGTGTGGGGATGAGCCCGGCGAGACTGGATCAGCTCGTCTCAACAGCGAGCACGACACCTACACCATCTCTGAGTGCGACTCTGACGACTGTAGGGAGACGGTTTATCAAGGGGACGTCTCCTCAAATTTGAGGAGATCTGACTCGTTCTCAACGATCAATTTCCATGATAACACGAGTGTCAACTTGGCGGATGTGTCTTCAGCGCTGGAGGAGCTGGAGTTATCCAGGATGAATGAGGTTGATGGGGTGGGGGGCAACAGGGACTTCGTCGTTAAATGCCCAATTTGCGATAATGTTGCGATGAGTGGGAGGGGGGCAGGGGGTGCTGGGCTGGCGATTCCCCAGTGCAGCTATTGCTCGTCACATTATGATAAGCAGGATCAGCGAGTGCCTGAGGAATCGGAAAGGGAATTGAATAATCAGGTGGAGGAGCCTGACGACCCAGTGAAACGCTGTAATATTTGTTTGGTACTCCCGGTGTACAGAGAAACCACGAGCGTCGATGGGGAAGAAGTCGTCCTAGAAGACTCTGATGTTGTTGTGGAAAAGGTCCAAACTGCTTTGAAGAATGACTCAACTGACGAAGAACTGGGGAAATACGATGTTTGCTTCAAATGCCTGATGATTCTCTCGGTGGACACTAGGGAGTTCATCCAGATCGAGCGAATGGTCTCCAGTGAGGATCTCGATTCTGCCTTGGTCACATCACCAGCCCCCGCTGTCCCTGATTACGAAGACACTACTCTATGTAAAGTAATCAATACTATGAATTTAACAGATGTTTCTGTCAACGATCGTTCAACTCTTGAAGAGCCGCTGTGTTTTATCAGAACACTCTTTGAATAATTCCGGAATTGTTGGGATCCTTTTTACCTCCAGAGATGATCAGCGTTTTTAATTATGATTTCAAACGCTGGACTAGGGTTTAATATTTTTGATAAAGCATTTCTATCACTCTTTTTTACGTTTTTAAACGTAGGATCTAATGTTTTCATATGCGGGACAATGAAAATACTGGCTCTCTTGATGCGTTCACAAAGTGCTTTATTTAGGATAAAATGAATAATCGTGGATTATTATCATGATTATTCATCGAATATTATTAATTGTAAGGACGTTTTTATGGTTTTCATTGTTAAATAGCTTTGTATTAACTTGCAATCGTACTAATGAGATTTAAAGAGTTGTCAATTTACCATTGAGTACAATGATCATCACAGGCTGTGTTATCACATTGTAAAAAATGTAATGGTAATCTCTACTCATTGCATTTGCAGCTTTACTCATTCGTTGAGAATATTTCTTTTTTTAGTTTCTTACTTATCTTCATTTTTTTTCTCTTTATCTCAGAGGATCAAGGGACAGATATTACCATTATGTTTTGGCATAATCGTCATTCTGGTCGACCTGATAATGTACATAACTCATTGCTTTTGTTGCATAATCATAAAATAATGTGATTATTAATTGGAGGAGAGTAGGGGAAAGGGCATTTAATGGAGACACTTTTATTCAAGGGATCAGAAGTTGAAGCTAAAAAGTCCTCTCTTTTATATCTACATTAATTATTATCACGTGCACTTGTTTATTATTTTTTCTTTTATCACTGCATCATAAAATCGGAAGTGAAGGAATAAATTAACAATGGTCTTTCATTCCAAGTGGTGTTTATTTTTAATTTGCATCCCCTCGCAACTGCATTGTCACGCACGTTATCATTGGTACAATGAATACATTAGGCAGGCTAACATTTTTCACACTGAGGTAAGGGATTTTACGAATATTTCTCTAACCGAATAGTACAATAACACTTTTTTTGTTTTTTTTTATTGAATATTTTTTTTTTTGCATACTTCAACACCAACACAGCATTTTCTCGACACGTGACGGTTTGAGGTGAGATCTTGTCTACTGAAACTGTAAGCCCAACGTTCTAACTGTATGATGGATGTATTGAATTACACTAAACTGCTCATTTTATAATTCAAATCAGTAGTGGAGGGGTAAAACGGCTTAAGGGTATCCCAGTACTTTGACTATTGTTTCTCTAGTTGAATGCCTTTCTACTTTTGGAGGAAGATGGATGAAATAATTTAAAAACTGAAATTTTTTAAATAAAAAGGCATTTTTATGAATAATTTATAAATAATTAATTTTCCACCATAAAAATCATTTGTTTGAAATCGTAACAAATTTGTTTAACATTCAGAATTTTACCAGAAAATGATTTCATGTCTAAAAATATGAAGTTTCCGAAAGTTTGAACAAGTTGGATTATTTATTTATAAACAACGAATGTTTAAAAGAGTAATAATTCGGTGCAAAATGTCATTTTAATGACGCTGAACATTCATGATTTTTTTCACATTTATCTCACGCAATTTAATTGGCAAATTTGATGATTGAGAATGGTTGAAACTATAGTAACTGTAAAGTCACTTAGCTCTCAGCTGAGTTTTGAATTCAAGAAAAACCAAATCCGCCCATTTGGACCCGAGTTTTGGGAATTCTCAATTTTTCTGGATTACAATTTTTGTCGATAAAGTCTTGTAATGAGTGTAAAACATCGCATGTGCCAAGAAAATGCTGTGTCAGTGCTATAGAGTCAGTGTTTTTTTATTTATTTTGGAGTTAAAAATATTCTACAATTTATGTTGTGTTACAGGAGAAAATACCGTGAACGGAGACCATTCTGATGCACATCACAGCACGTTTTCTCACAGCAGCAAGGAGGTTCGTTTGATTTTTTATCAATTCATTGGGTCTGTCCTTGATTACATCAAGGGGAATACTTATCCGTGGATTTTCATATTCTCAAGGTCTTATTGTACTAATTTCATGGCACATTCTCCACTCATCTGGTTCTCAGAAGCCCCTGGATGTCTATTTCATTCATTCATTAATTATTAAAAGGGTTTTCATGGGGTTTATATTTTAACTATTGATATTTTTTTCATTAATTGTATACATGTAGTGATTTTTGACGGTCCGGATTGTGAAATTTGTATCCCATGATTTTTATTCGTTAATTAGTTTTGTCCTCCATTTTCTTGAGGAGAATAATTATTCCTGAATTTTTGCATTTTCATGGTCTTATTATACTAATTTCATGGCTCATTATCAACTCATTTGGTCCTCAGAAGCCTCTAGATGTCCATTTCATTCATTCATTAGTGATTAAGAGGATTATCCTGGGGTTTACATTCCAATTACTGATGGATAATTGAATGGCCACATGTAGTGATTTTTGAGGGTCCACATTATGAAATTTTAGTGGATAACAATAAAATAATTATGTTATTTTTATTTGCTGATCAATTTTATCCTCAATTTTATAAAAGAGAATAATTTATCCCGGATTTTTACATTCTCATGGGCTAAGTGAACAAATTTCATGGCACATTGTCCTCAGAAGTCCCTAGATGTCTTTCATTCATTCATTACTGATTAACAATATTTTCATGGGGTTTATACTTTAATTATTGATGGTTTTTTATTAATTGTGTACATATAATGATTTTTGAGGGTCCAGATTGTGAAATTCTTAGGGATGGCCCCATTAGTGGATGTCGTGTCATGTCTGGGAGACTAATCATCAATCACACTCATCATTCACGTATTATTTTTCATCATTCATTCATAATAATCATCATTAATTCTCGAAATTGTAGTGGATTGATTTAAGAACATTAATTCATCACTCTCGCATTTATCCTTCGAAATTCATCTCCATAGAGCTAGAGATTATTTGGGATTTAGTAGAACTAAATAGAGAGAATATTATTTCGAGTTGAGTAGTGCTGGCAAACGGCTCTGCTTGCATGCAAAAAAAAATTGGGGAGAAATTGAGTCATTGGAGATCGGATTTCACCTGCATGTGCATGAGGTTTTTTATGTTTATTCGTTGGGACCTTCCATGTTAAGGGTTCCATGTCGCAGGACGTGAGCGTTAGCGAGGAATCGCCCAAGAAAGAGAAGAAGAAGAAGAAGGGACTCAGGACACCATCTTTCCTCAAGAAGAAGAAGGAGAAGAAGAAGCCTGTCGAGGCGTAGGTAGTCCTAACTCGGGTACGTATTACATTCATTACTCCATTACCTCATTTTATTCCAAATTAATTGGGGGAAATATCAATGATTGCTTTGCTGTAATTCAAAGTCGAGGAAATCTGGAAAATAAGAACTTTTTTAAATCCAAGGAAATGAGCATTGTTAAATCACCTGTATCTCGTGAACAAATGATTCGATTTGGAAATGTTAAATTTGGTTTAAAAGTTTGGCAAAAAATACCTTCAGAGTGAAAAAAAAAATTGTTCAATTTCACTCGGTCAACTTCGAGATATTGATGATTAACAACGGTTCATTTCAGCCCTAGATGGATGACTAGAATAGGTGAAAAGCTCATTGCAATTATTTTTGCATTAGAATATTTTTAGATGCTCAATTAGAAGAATTCACTCATGTTCCATAAAATTCATAAATAATTCACTATAAATTAAGGAACAACTGTCGCGTGATTACTGAAAAAAACAAAAAAATCATTTTCAATTGTCATTTTCTCGTTTAACAGTTTATTCATTATTCTTTTTCAGACACTGCCACAAAAAATATTTTACCAGAAATAAAAGGAAAACAAAGTTAGAACCCAAGATCGAAGTGCAAAACGAGCAGAGAATATAAAAGCGAAACTTAATAATAACGAAATTATGAAGAAGTCATTGCCTGAAGCAGCCCACGAGCAAAAATTCCATCGTATTTTCCAGGACTCAAGACTGCCATCACAACGTCTACGAGAATAAGGAAGACTATATTCTATTGTTAATGTTTTTACGTTTTTAATTTGTTGATCATCGCATGATGTGAAAAGGAACAAAATGATGAAAAATAGGGAACGATCCCTCGGTTTAAACCTCATCGAGGTGAAATAATCAATTGTAATGAACCATTGACGATGTGCGTGTGAGCAAGCAGTGAAGGAAATTAATTAACAAAATCATGTTGCACGTAAACTTTATAAATACCTAATTGAGTTTTTAAGTTAATTAAAACAATTCAATCATCTTATTATTTGTTTTTCAATAATTATTTCATTCAGGGTATTTCAAGATGAGGTGAGACGAGGGGATGGGATTATTTATTCAGTCATTGAGTCGATCGTAATTAATTTGTTATATTGAAATTCCTATTTTTGCACTTCTTCCCTCGTTCTACCCCATCAAGTTAAAATCATCACAATGAATTATTTCGAGATCGAGGCATGAGACTTGGGAATTAACTTCTCGGCAGGCGCATTGGCGTGACGATAAAGAAATTTGATTGACCAATTAATCATGAGATTATCGAAAAATCAGGCATATCGTGTTGAACGATTTACTGTGATTTTTTCCCTGGGTACAGAGCGCCGGGTAAACAATTGTGACAAAAATTCCCCGCGTCAATATCTCATGTTTGGTACTAACGAACCGAAATATTATAGACATGGAATTAATGATAAACGTCATTGAGGTGAAATAATCAGTTTTCACGAAGCACTGGGGAGCAGTGAAGGAAATTAATTAACAAAATTGAGTTTTCAAGCTAATTAAAATGGTTTAATTATCTCATTATTTGTTTTGAGGTGAGACAAGGGGATGGGATTATTTATTCAAATTCTTTTTTGAAATTCCTATTTTTGCACTTCTCCCCTCGTTTTACACCATCAAGTAAAAATTTTCATAATTAGTGATTTTGAGCTCGAGGCATGAGACTTAGGAATCAACTGCTCGCCAGGCGCATCCGCGTGACGATAAAGCAATTTGATCGACTAATTAATCATGAGATTTTCGAAAAATCAGGCATATCGTGTTGAACGATTTACCGTGATTTTTTCCCTGGGGACAGAGCGCCGGGTAAACAATTATAACAACAATTTCCCGCGTCAATATCTCATGTTTGGTACTAACGAACCGAAATATTATAGACATGGAATTAATGATAAACGTCATTGAGGTGAAATAATCAGTTTTCACGAAGTACTGGGGAGCAGTGAAGGAAATTAATTAAGAAAAATTATGCACGTAATTTTTTTAACTACCTAATTGAGTTTTAAAGTTGAGTAAAACGATTTAATTATCTTATTATTTGTTTTTCAAAAATTATTTCATTTAGAGTATTTCAAGATGAGATGGGATGAGGGGATCGGATTATTTACTTTATTGATTGGATAGTAATTACGCTGTCATGCCAAGTTGGCGAATTTTACTAAGAGCAGAAAATTTATTCACATCTCTCCCCTCGTTCTACCCCATCAAGTAAAAATCATCACAACTCGACGACTGAATCTTGGGAATGAACTGCTCACCAGGCACGTCAGCGTGACGATAAAGAAATTGATCGACTAATTAATCATGAGATTATCGAAAAATCAGGCATATCGTGTTCAACGATTTTCCGTGATTTTTCACCTCGGTACAGAGCGCTGAATAGACAATTATAACAAAAATTCTCCGCGTCAATATCTCATATTTGGTACTAACGAATCCAAAAATTATGAAAATGAAATTAATGATCAAGCACCACCGCGAAATGCCGATATCCGGCTTTTGAGCTCGTACAAATAATTAGGTATGACGATTAAGTAAATGTGGAGGGTAAGGCGATTTTATTCGTAAAATTTATTGAAAATTAAACCACTATGAACGATTAAATGATTGAAAAATTCCTCTGATATTCGATAATTCGTAAAGAAAAATGTTAAGAAATTTGAAATTTATAAATCGCCATGGGAATGGTAGTGGGTTTACTCATCTTCACCTATTCCTTCGCGCAATGGCCTAGCTTTCTTGCACGCGCGCTTTGCATCGAAACATTTTAAAGGAGAATTTACTAAAAATTGAAGTAGATGGCCGTCGCCGGTTTTGTTGACCAGAAAAACCTATGTGTGTTGCTTTGTCAATTCTGTGATTGAGTAAAATGAAATTCCCAGAGATCTCATTTCTACTGAAAATAAGTTTCTCGATGTTTCCTTTGATCACAGAATTTTTTATTATTTTTTTTTGTTATTCCTTCGTATTGTGGTCGCTTGTGAAGCGATATGTTCACGAGAGGTTCAATTGCAGCGTTTTATGGTGCCGAATACGTGAGAATGTGAGTAAGAATGCCTCTAGATTCTTCTATAAACAATTTTTTAATGAAACTATTTGATTCACTCAACGTGATGCGCAGTCTTTGATGGAGAATTTATCGGTCCAACAGAGTGATTAATTAATTAATAAAAATTGTCTTCTGCCCCAGTGGATCGATTTAAACACAAGTAGGATGAACTGAGATTCATCGGAACAACACGCATGAAAAATGTTAATAGAAAAACCTGGCGTCTCTGGACAATTCTATTGAATTTCTATTAGTTTTTGGCTGATTCTATTGAAATGTTCGACAGAAAATATTCTATAGAGAAAGTCAAAAGAATTCGATTTTTCTATGCAACTTATTCTATTGGGATATTTTCTATAGAATTTCCTCGGCTCACATTTTCCATTTTTTTGTTTAATTTTCTTGATGAGAAGAAAAGAAAAATAGGAAATTATAAAGAAAATATCAGTAGACAATAAGTTATATAAAAAAATCGAATTCTATTGACTTTCTCTATTGAACATTTCAATAGAAACCCAATAGGATTTGCTAACGAATTCGCCAGGTTTTTCTATTAAATTTTTTCGTGTGTGAATTTTTTTAATGCACGTGCGAACATATTATTTTTTACTCTATCCAATTTAATTTTAAATCCCAATAAAAAATCATAAGGGAATGAAAATACTGTGTGATGTGACTCACGAGAAAGTGCGAACATTAATTACCTTTTTTAATTAATTATCTTTTTCTTTGTACAAAGTATGGAAAAAAAATAAAAGAGAACAATGTGTTTGTCATTATTTTCTCGCCACTTTCTTGTTAGGATTTAATTGAATTATGGAAAATAAAAGTTATTGTGAGCTAGATTCTTTCTTGTTGCACGCTTGTCTATGAGATGAACATTTATACGAGGTGATGAGAAAAAATTTTGTCGAGGTGTATCTGGTGATTTGAGAGGAGAAAACATAATGAATAATTTGTATTATTGAGAGATGAAAGAATCATGATGACGATGATTGCAATTTTATTATTGTAATAGTTAATATATACCTATATACATATTATAACAATATTATTAAATATACATGAAGTAATTTTAGCCATGATTTTCACGTTTCAATCGCATTTTACGATCGATTTAATCATGTTTCAATGTAAAATTTTGGAAAATTATGAAATGCTTTCGAAAATTCGTCCATTGGGAGGGAAATGCCTCATGCCCTTCATTTTTACGAAATAGCAATAAGGAAAATCAATAAATGCACTTGTACATAGCTTCGATATTAATCGCAACATCAGCGTGAATGAGATACGTTTTTCCTGCTCTCTCAGTGATTTTTTTTCCATAAACCCTGATTTCAGAGAAAAATATTAATTTTTTTTTTGAGAATTTTTTGAGCTACAAAGCTCTTGGTATTTTACTCTAAAACCGCTTATTTTCTAGATGAATGAATGGGGTTCGTTTGTGCAATCTCAGATGGACACATTTTGGGGAAAATGGTGACTGAATCTGCTCAAATTTTTGTGCCCATTCCTTCCTCCGAAAAGGTAGAATTTTTTCTCATGATTTTCTTAGCAATAAAAATGTCTGGACATTTCCCCGTAGCTCAACTTGTAGACAAATCTCCAACAATTGACATCATCCAACTGCCCCCACCAATTTCCCGAGCGTCTCCCCTCAAATTCCCCCTTACCCTAATCCCCAAAAAAGGTAGGTAAAAATTAATGAAAACCCACCGCAATAATTTTAAATCATGTATTTTTCCATCGAGACTAAAAAATTTATTTCCATTTTCGGAATTCCTGAATGTTCAAATAAATACAAAGAGAAACAGAAATATAAAAGAACCAAGAAATCTCGATGTTGTCGAAAGGGTTCCCGACGACTTAGTACTCCTCGGCGCCCTCGCCCTCTCCCTCAGCAGAGTCCATGCCAACCTCCTCGTAATCCTTCTCAAGAGCAGCGAGATCCTCACGGGCCTCTGAGAACTCTCCCTCCTCCATACCCTCGCCGACGTACCAGTGGACGAAAGCGCGTTTGGCATACATGAGATCGAACTTGTGATCAAGACGAGCCCAAGCCTCGGCGATGGCTGTGGTGTTGGAGAGCATGCAGACAGCCCTCTGGACCTTGGCAAGATCGCCACCAGGCACGACAGTTGGTGGTTGGTAGTTGATGCCCACCTTGAAACCAGTTGGACACCAGTCGACGAACTGGATGGTACGTTTGGTCTTGATGGTGGCGATGGCTGCGTTGACGTCCTTGGGGACGACGTCACCCCTGTAGAGCATGCAGCAAGCCATGTACTTCCCATGACGTGGGTCACACTTGACCATCTGATTTGCTGGCTCGAAGCAGGCGTTGGTGATCTCAGCGACAGACAGCTGCTCGTGGTAGGCCTTCTCAGCCGATATAACTGGTGCATAGGTCACCAGGGGAAAGTGAATCCTCGGGTAGGGCACCAAGTTGGTCTGGAACTCAGTCAAATCGACGTTGAGGGCTCCGTCGAAACGAAGGGATGCTGTGATTGACGAAACAATCTGCCCAATCAGTCTGTTCAAATTCGTGTAGGTTGGCCGCTCGATGTCCAGGTTCCTGCGGCAGATGTCGTAGATTGCCTCGTTGTCCACCATGAACGCACAGTCTGAGTGCTCAAGGGTCGTGTGGGTCGTCAGAATGGAGTTGTAGGGCTCAACAACGGCAGTGGATACTTGGGGAGCTGGGTAGATGGCGAATTCGAGCTTTGATTTCTTTCCGTAGTCCACGGAGAGACGCTCCATGAGGAGGGAGGTGAAGCCTGATCCAGTACCACCGCCGAACGAGTGGAAGATGAGGAAACCTTGGAGACCTGTGCACTGGTCTGCTAGCTTGCGAATTCTGTCGAGAACCAGGTCGACGATCTCTTTGCCGATGGTGTAGTGGCCACGGGCGTAGTTGTTGGCTGCGTCCTCCTTGCCGGTTATCAGCTGCTCGGGGTGGAATAGTTGACGGTAGGTGCCAGTACGTACTTCATCTGGGAATTTCGGGAAATAATACAGGGGAATTAGTGGAAATTTTAGGGGGAAATTTTTGAAATGTTTATATGCAGAACATTTTATTGGTCAATTTAGGAGCTATTGATGATTGCTGAAGACTGATTTCATCCTCTCTCTTTCTTATTAGGAAATGTTAATTGGGAATTGAGACTATCCAATGATTCATAATAATATTGTTTTCAAAATTGGGAATTAAACATTGGAGTTTTATAAATTTAAATTACTTCTCTATTTTGAACTCTCAGAAAAGATATTAAACATCTGAGAAAAATTGGGTCTGCTTTTTTAGGAAGTGAAATAAAATAATTTGAAAATTGTAATTCATGAAGTTTGAAAAATTCAAGGATTGGAAATTACTACGAAAAAATCCTAGGTGAATTAATTTAAATGTCCATTTAATCATTGGATAAAGTTGATTTCAAAGCCCGATTGCAAAAAAATAGAGGAAATAGAAATTCAATCGTTCTTCCGTGAAAAAAAAAGTTCTCACCGACTACAGTAGGCTCCAAATCGATGAAGACAGCACGTGGTACGTGCTTTCCAGCTCCAGTTTCACTGAAGAAAGTGTTGAAGCTGTCGTCACCCCCTCCGATGGTCTTGTCAGATGGCATTTGTCCATCGGGCTGGATTCCATGCTCAAGGCAGTACAGCTCCCAGCAGGCATTACCAATCTGGACTCCAGCCTGTCCAACGTGGATTGAGATACATTCACGCTGTAAAAGAAAGCAAAGTGTCACGAAAAATTCCCTGAAACAATTCATCAAAAATCACGGGCATTTCCTCGACAGAATGACGTCTGCATGTTTTGATATAGGGGAGAATGGGATATAATATGGACAATACACTTTTTTTGTAATGTTATCTTTTTTCGGGATCTTTTTTCCTTTTAAAGTACAATTGTTCTTCTTTAGTGATGTGTCTAGACTGAGCTCAATTGATAAATTTATTTCTGAGTTGTAAATATTTTTTAAAACGTCAAGTGTCAAAATGGGCACTTATCCTTTTTTTTAAATCTCAATAGCTCATTGAGTTGCTAAGGAAATGGAAAAAAAAATTCTAATGGAAAGTTCAATTCTTTCCCTTTATGAGGAGCCTAGATTGAGCTCAATTGATCAATTTGTTTCGGAGTCATGAGCATTTAAAAATAGTAGTGAGCCCATTTTGCCCCGCCCTCCCCTACATATCGAATCCCCACAATATGCTAAACATTCAGAAGTTTGAGATTGCTTAATCAGTAATTGGGATGAATTAGAATTCAGAAAAATTAAATATGTATATCGTATAATTAGGACGAGGAGTTCACTTCTGTGATCACAAGTATCGGTAAACGAAGGAAGGGAATTCAGTGTGGCAGCTCATTTTGTCAAGAAAATGCTCTTTCGAACCTAAAGTATATCAAAATAACCACCTCCTCAGAACAAACCGTTTGCGATTATTGATTCAAATGTACGAATGACTCATGTCAGGGTGGAGCCGGCCGGCGGAAACCGTTACAAAATGGCCTCCAGTCAAACAAAAATGACGCTCGACAAGCCCTTTCCCAACTCTCCCCTAAAACCCCAGTCACGACGAGATAATTACAAAAAAAAAAATGCGTCTTCCCCCCAAAAAAATCATTAAAAATTATTTTCACAGCTATTTTCCACGACGAATATTCGCAGAATAAAATTCTCGAAATTACCTCATTTACGTAGAATCATCAATTGATTCACAATTACGAAAGACGCGTCTTTTTCCCAATAAAATCATGTAAAACCCCTTCCCTACACGAGATTCCCTCGAATTTCAAAGGAATATGGATTGAAATGCGAGACAGAATATCAATTCCCCACAACAAATATTCGCAGAAAAAAATTCTCAAAATTAACTGATTTACGTGGAGTTAATAACTGATTTATAATTACGAAAAACGCGTCTCCTCCCCTTCAAAATCATGTAAAACACTTCCTCCAAACTAGATTCTCTCGAATTTCACCGGAATATGCATTGAAATGCGAGGCAGGATATCGATTTCCCACGACAAATATTCGCAGAAAAAAAAAATCTCCAAATGAACTGATTTACGTGGACTTATTGACGGATTTACGAATTCTTACGGCTTTTAAGGTATTAGAGAATGTGGTACTCACCATTTTGAAGTTTTTTTGATTTTTTTGATATACAAAAGAGAGACGTTAAGAGGATTGTCGGCAGAAGTTAGCAATGGCACTTCAGCGAACAATTTCCAACGGCTTTTGTCATCAGACTACTCCGCCTCGGCAACGTTCACATCGCTTTATACCCTCGCCGAACGGTTTTATATCGACTTTCACGATTGGTGGATTGTGGCTTGCCCGAGGCTTCCCATTGGTCCTCTCTCAACCGCAGGACCGAAGCGCACATCGCTCCAGTATTCCTCCGCGGGATAATGTAGTTCCATAAATTTTCAGCTTTAATTGTTATTTTGTGCATTGGAATTAAATATTTTTGAGGGAGGCCCGGGAGATTTGGGGGATTGATTTTTTGGGCGTGCAGGTGAGGGCGAGGGTTGTGGTGAGTCATTGTAGGTGAGTGGTGAGTCATGAACGCCGGTTATTCCATATTTGGAGCAAATCCCCCCGCACCCGGCGGGCGTTTCCCCATGCCAAGGCACGAATTCGATCGGTCCTTATATGAAAATTATGGGAATGATGACGTGATGTCTGGTAATCTTTTCTCGTGTAGATAGACATGGAGATAGTGTTATTTACTCACGAAAGGGGAAATTCGGAATTATTATGAATTGTGGATTTTTTTTTGTTTGAATGTCGAGGCTTTGAGTCTATTGTTGAGAGGGAGAAATTGGGATCGATTCAATGTTTCCGTTTCAAGTGGAGTCTGTTGTTTAGCAGGCAAATTAGCAATTAGCATACCTGTCGTTGGTCGAGGGGATATGCCATGTTTTGTTCATTATTGAATTTTCTGGGTAATTGGAAAATTTTAGGAGAGGTCATAACAATTTTTTTTCCATTAGGAATTTATCGATCTAAAAAACTCATCATCGAGATGTCGATGTGTGTTGTTTTGTTATTTTTTTATTTTCTTGATAATGAGTGAGGATAGGAAAAAATGCTATAAGATTTTTTAAAATTAGAAATTGTCTGAACTACACATTTCAAATTATCACAATAATAATGTAATTTATTGTATTTAATTTACTCACGAAAGGAAAAATCCGGAATTATTATGAGTTTTGGGGATTTCTTTTTGTTTGAATGTCGAGGCTTTGAGTCTACTGTTGAGAGGGAGAAATTGGGATCGATTCAATGTTTCCGTTTCAAGTGGAGTCTGTTGTTTAGGAGGCAAATTAGCAATTAGCATACCTGTCGTTCGTCGAGGTGATTGCCATGTTTTCTTCATTATTGAATTTTCTGGGTAATTGGAAAATTTTAGGACAGGTCATAACAATTTTTTTTCCATTAGGAATTTATCGATCTAGAAAAAACCTTTAGATATTTCTTCCTTACATTACTCATCATCGAGATGTCGATATGTGTTGTTTTGTTATTTTTTTATTTTCTTGATAATGAGTGAGGGTAGGAAAAAATGCTATAAGATTTTTTAAATTAGACATTCTGTGAACTACACATATCAAATTATCACGATAATAATGTAATTAACATATAATGATGTAATTCGCACATAACGCTCGTTAAATATTGACTCCTCTCGCTACTAAATGACCAAGAGAAAACACCATCATTTTATATTTTTAAAATTACATCAGCTACAAAAAATTTCTTATCGCTCTTTCCTCTAAAAGTCCCCTTCACCGAGACTATCTCATAATTTTCTAAATTATCGCATTAAACCCATGAATCCCCTTTTTTTCAATGAAAAAAAAAATTGTTATCCTTGTAAAATTCTTCTCCCAAATTATTTCAACGCCCCTCTACTCCGGATTTTTCCAGAATTTTGAGAGCCAGCTGCACTTCACCATAGCTCGCTGCCCTGCGCCGTAATTTGTTCCCTCTGCTTAACAAAATGCAGAGGCCAGAGGTGAAGCCCCTTGTGCCGTTGCCCTTGATAAGGACATACGAACAATAAAGCAGTCGAAAAAACTGGAAGAGTACCAGCTGGCAAACGGTCGATGCGATCATCCCGTTTAGGGGGTGAGTAATTCAATGATACTGGGTTGCCTCGATAATTTGAACAAACAACTCCAAAAAATGGGATAAAAATATCGATCAGAGGAGAGGGGGTAAAATGAAGTGGTTTTCATAATTATTTGCTTGGAATTGAGCGAGTGAAAAGTGATTTTTTTTTCATTTTCAAGATGCTTTTTCAGAGTTCTAAATGAGACCGGATTGATATCAATCGGGTCATTTGGTCGGAAGTCAAAACAAAATATAGCGGAAAGAACTTGAAAAATCAGTGCCAGTAATTTTAATAATAGAAAAAAATTTTAGAGAAAAATTCAAACGGGAAAATCGAAATGTATTAATTTTTTCCCATCAAATATCCAGTAGAATCGGCGCAAAAAAAAATTAATTTTAACTAGAATTTCCTAGAATTTTAATAGAATCTCCGTGGAATTTCTAGAGAATTCCAATAGAATTTCCTAGCGAATTCGCTGCGGTTTTCTATTTAATGTTTTCAACGACTAAAAACATTCATACGGAAATATTGATACTCTGGAAGATTCAGGGAAATAGGATAATAAGACATTTGGTGAATACAAAATTACCTATGGAAGTCCACACAACTTCTGTCAGATACGATCAATTAGCCCCTCATGTATAGATATTCCAAAATTTTATTTTTTTCCTCATTGAAGTAGTTTTGAAGAAAATTGCGAGCTAATAAAAAACATTTGCTAGTTAGTACTTTTTTTAAAATAAATTTTGGAAAAATCACCCCTGAAAAAAAAGGCGTTATCCCCCCTATTTCATTATTTCCAAAAA